AGTTAATAATAATAAAAACTGCTTATCACTTTGGAGAAGTGCTTTAGAAACCTTCAACAGCAAGGCACAGCATACTTCTTAAGACATCAGTCTGCTGCTGGTGTATATATTGCATATGCAACACACAATGCTGTGGACATACATGAACATTTATCCATAAACATGGAAGAATAAACTAAATTATTTGAAAGTTAATGGAAAGCTTTCTACTGAAAGGAGAAAGATGTGAGACTGGCTATCAGATATATCTTCAGCAGATTAGCTGAGAATGTTTCCAGCAGGTCTTGTCTCAGGATGGGACAGTGACTTAACTAAATGCTAAGCTCCTGTCTGTATTATATTGCAGCAATTTAAATGTAATAATGTTATAGTGTACAAAGTCATTCACTGGAGGTCCTGAGATGATTGCATGAATCCAGCTAAATGAAGGCTTACATCCAAAGGGACTCTTCTCTAAGCTACCGTTCCTGAGCCAGGCTTTAAAACATTTTTCAGATTTTGTTTTACAGTAATTTTCTAGTCAATGGGTCTGTGTTGAAAGAAACACTGTGTTATGGAGGATTTGGTGAGTAGGGAAGGTGATGCCTTCTTCAGTTCTCACTGTGTGGCTGCCCTAGTGAGGTATTGCCCACCTTAAGATACACATGGAGGAGCAGGGTCAGAGGGGCTGGGGGAAGGGAAGATCAAGCCCGAACCTGTCAACCTTATTTGCTATTTGACTTCAGTTTTGGTAGAAATGTAAGCTCTCAAAGCCATTGAGTACTTTCAAATAGACCTGATGTTGAAGCAATGCCATGTAAATATACATTAACAATACTTCTTCCTTTAATTATGGAGGCTGGACTATGCAGCCACCCGTACACTCTAGTGTTGCTTTATTGACAACAACAATATTGCCTTACTGTGCACACAGTTAAATGGCACTCTTGACCTGGAATGAACCCTTAACCTTTCCTCACAACAGTGTGTGCTAATAATTTTTTTCTCATCTTTAAGAAACCATATGCTGGTACTTTCATCTGCAGTCAATGCAGGGCAACATTTCCATCAATTGTTACAGACCAAGACCTGAGCCACATATTTTGTGAGGAAAATGCAATGTTCAGGTCAGTGACAGATAATATTATGCACATATATTTAAACAAGATGGTCTTTAGTTTTACCAAATTTAAAAGTAAGACTTCAATACCTGCTAACTTAAAATGACACTTGGGAGCAAGCATTGGCCTCTCTCTATGAGGCCACCAGGGTCAAGAACCAGAGTTCCCTTCTGCCTTTAGGATTCCCCACACACCAGCTAACCTTTGCAGCTCTTCCTGTGAGGACACAGCCATTCTGCAAATGACCAAATTCTCGCTTTCAAGGTGATGAGAAGATTTCACCCCATGATTTAAGCTCCCACCATAGCATGACTAATTTCTGTCTTCCAAATATGCAGATGGCACAGCGGACAGGGAAAAAAACAAGTGTGCCATGGAGTCCCTGGCACCATACACCCTCAGAACATGGGTGCGGTCAAGTTGCACCAGGGGATGTCCAGGTTGGACATTAGGAAAAATTTCTTCACAGAAAAGAGTGATGAGGCATTGGAACAGGCTGCCTGTTTTTATTCAGCTTTTCTCCACTGTAAGCTCTGACAGTTATATGATAAATTTGTGTTTGCATGTGAAATGGCTCTTCCTTACATTTAGCCCTCTCTTCAACTGGAGACATCCTGTTTCTTATAGTGATTAGATAACGTGCAGGTGTACCCGGGTTTCTTCAACTAATTTTGAGGAATATGCTAGTAATATATATGTGTAAAAGAGCTCTATATAACTTTGATTTCACAGTACCTCTTTCTTTTACATCTATTGACTGGTACAGTGTTTAGAGATACAAGTAAGCATGCAGTGCAAGATAAGCTATATTTTGCTTGCTGTGCCACTCTAATACTATCCATTGAAACATTTGCTGTGTAAAAATTTTGAATTTCAAAACTGTTGGGCTGAACAATTTCCATTTCTACTGTAGATGAAGGTATGTTCAGGAAAAAGAGCACTTTCACATTCAAATTAGAGCATTCTTTTTTGGTGGAATTAGAAAATTAACATGTGAAGAAGAGAGTATATGATGTCTAAATTATGTCTTAGACAATCTTAGAAAACAGTAGGATCAAAATGACAGAAAAATGAAGACCTGGTATTTGGATTTTTCAGAGAACCTTACTGTTAGAGAGAAAGCAAAAAGTAAATACTAAAGTAATTTATACAATTGCAGCAAATTGTTTAGTTAGGTGCAGAAGGGCCCATTGTTAGTACTTGTTTTGCAAACACTTAACATTTCCATTAATAACCTGAAAGAGAGGGTTCCTAGCATGTTGATTAAATGAAGAGAGAATTCCCATTTGAAAGAAGTCATAAAGCATCATTGAGGATTCAGACATAGTGTAACAGGATTAAAAAAGTTAGAAAAAGAAGGAAGAGGTAAAAAGATTCCACCTTGGAATTTTAAGAGGTATCTTAATAAAAACTCCTGCCTTATACAGGAGAGAAGTGGCTGAGAAACAAACAGAGCAAAGATGCTGAAGGAATAAGTGAACTGGATATCGGTTGCTGTGTGATGCAGAAGCTGCAAAGACTACTTTGATTGTGGGCTGCCTGTGAAGAAGTCTGTCCTTTGCAGAGCTTTCAGCAACTTTTAGGAGTTAAATGGGGGAAGGAGTTCCAAACATTTATTATTGAGGAAAAAATTTAAGTGTTGCACTCAAGATCAGACAAGTGGCAATGAGCTTGTGCTTGAAAAAAGACATGCATTTGAAGAATATAAAGACCAGAAGAAAACTAAGACAAGAAATATGAATCTGGTAGAAAGTCTTCAATAAGGAAAAGAACTCATATCATCTGGGATAATTAAAGCAACAGTTCAGTTTATCACTAGACAAGGTAGCATGAAGAAATTTCTATCAGACATGAGGATCAGTGCAGTATAGCTTTTCCATCTTCTATATATTCTCTATGATTTCTAGTTCTAGTAGCTTCTATTAATCATTAATTAAGCTTATACCTAAATCTCACAGCAGTGAATAAAATACAATGCTGCTGCGAAATGTAAGTGTACTGTAATATAAAGTCAATGCATCGCAGTGCTTAAGAGTTTTCCTGCTTTGAGTGCAAGCTTTACAGATGGACCAACAATCTGCTGCAGCATTTAGAGGCAATTCCTGTTTGTTTTTAAACACTAAAAATGTAATTCCTCTGTACACTAATCCCAATGGTACATTTTTCCATTTTTTTCAGCTGATCCTTTATACTACACTATCTGTGGATCCTTTAGCCACTAAACATAGGATTCCATGGCCATATTCATTCTTCGGTCTCACTTCAGGGTTGGTAGGGTGGATGGTTGGACTTGATGATCTTGAAGATCTTTTCCAACCCGGCTGATTCTATGATTCTGTAACTGAGCACAAACCCTAACACATGGACCATCAGAATCATCATAGTTCTGGTAACTCCTCTGAGTCTCTCTGGAAATATTTCCCTTTGGTACAGGTTGCTGCAGAGTAACAACTTTTATGACTGTTTAAATTGTGTCTCAGCGGGTTCAGGGTATTACAAACCACTGTTGCAGGACTGAGATTTGCACAAACCACGTGTGTAATCTTCATGCAGCCAGGTGAGCCAAGAAGGAAGTCAGAGAAGTTTCTCACTAATCGTCTGTATATGCTATGTGGTGAGTGTAGGACTTCCCTGGCCAGCAGCCTAGGCCAGTTCTGATAACAAAACATATCCCACTAAACATGTGGAAGAAAAACATAATTTTCTCCTGCACAATTTGCAACTAAAGCCCACAATTTGTTGCACAGCTTCCTGCACACAAGCACCCATGAGAATGAAACATCCTACAGATTCCAGCTATGCCTTCATTTATTTTTTATCAGACAGAAACTGCTAAATATACATTTCCTGCAATATGTATTGAGTGCATGCCACATCTCCAGGGCCCTCAGCAGGGCACACATACATTTACACATCTCAGTGTACCTCCATAAGGTAGCAAGGCAAGGCCAGAACTAGAGACGGTTTTTAAGATATGTCATTAATTAAATTGTAATGGATACTCTTGAATATAGTATTTTTCCCTTATTCTCTTTAAATTAAATTCTATTAACAAAGTGTTACCCTTTGATTATATTCTCAACCACAACTGACTCAGCATACTTCATTTGCTGAGGTGGGAAGTACCTAATTAAGATGCCAATCTTCTTTCATGTTATTTCTTTATAATAGAAGTAGTGCTTCCAGTTGTGTTTGAGAGGTATGACTAGAGGCACTAAATGAACAGAAATCCTCCTTAGAGAGGAATCAACATTAGCCATTGCCTTTCAAACCTCAAAATCCCACAAAGAAGTCTCTTTGCTATTTTTAAAAGAAGAAATCAAGGTTCTCCAATGCATTCAAGCAGAGGAGCAGGGGTATCCATGCAACTATGGTCAGAGTTTTTGCATCTAAGGAATTCAGTGAGCTTGCTCTGCATGTGCATCCACAGACCAGAAGTAGCAAGCTGGTGCTTTTTGACAATAAATACCCTAGAATTAGCTGCCATGGGGATGCTGAATGTTGACAAGAATACGGATGGCTGGCTGAAGAGAACATTTAACCCTGCTAGTAATGAGCTCATTTGAAACAAGCTCCCTGCTACTAATTATCACTTGGTTCTGATTGATTAATCACCTGCTTTTGTCCTCCTATTTCATAAACAGAACATGAATTGATGAGTTTAAGAAACTGCATAATTTGCAGATTTTGGTAAAAACAGAACTGCCTTGATATTGTGTCAATTACTGTCACACTGATTTTCTTTCCTCCCTGCATGTGTGTGCCTGTATACACATGTGCGAAGCTGTAATTATTGTACACCTGTGTATGGAATGCCTACACAATATTTTAATAAAGGCAATATTGCAATCTAGTTTATATATGCACACATTACACTAGATGAGTAAGAATTTTGCTTACCTATTTCTGTCATGGATATCCCCGAAGCTAACTGCCCATTGTTGAAAGAGCTATAGGTAAACAAGTTTGGTACAGAGGTGAGGTCATAGATAGGTTCCTGCTTTATCTGTTTGATTCCAGTCATGTCTAACCCAGACTGGTCTGGGGAAGGTTGGGCAGAATCCACATTATAGTAACCCTCAGACTTTGGCAGGTCGATGACGTGCCCATTTGAGTAGGTGCTGCCAGTTTCATTATTCAGGTTGCTCAAGCCATTGCTGATGCTGTTGCTGTAAACTCTAGCAAGGGCTTCTGCCTCGCCGCTCTGCTGCTGCCGTTGCTCCTGCAGTCGCTGCTGGTGCTTCTGCACTTCAGCATATAAGCTGTCCCTCTGCTTTTTGGACATTCTTCCAAACTTCACAGCTGAAAAGCAAAGCACAGTATAAACTATTGTTCTCTTTTGTTTTTTCTTGATTCCCCTCAACCCCACTGCTCATTTGATATTTTTCAGTGTTACTTTCACTGTTGAAACTTGCTGTTTCTGTGGAAATGGGAGAGGATGCAAAGCTTTACATCATGTGCATCTCACAAAGTATTAACGTGTTTGGATTTACAAGGTGATGGCAATGACTCCTATTTGACAGGAAGGCCTCAGTTAAGCAACTCACTTGCCACTGTGAATGTCAAAAAGACCATGTAACCTTTTATATCTGTGTTCACTGAACAGCAACCCAGAGCTGTAGAAAATGTGCAGTCTGTACATTCATATGCCATGTAATTTACCACTTTTCCACAACCCTTTAAACAGTGCACTAACAAGATTAATACTCTGGATGAAAACAAGCCCTAAAGCCTTATTATCACATCCTTTCAATGGGGTGTTATCTTCACACTTAAAAAAATAATAAATCTTACAGGTTGGAGTTAGAACCTAGAGGAATATAATAGATTTGAAGGTAAACAGCACAAACGAATGTCATCTTTTCCACAGAGGGAAGTCTCAGGGATTTACACCATCAATTTACATAATCTTCCTGCACAAATCCATGCATTCCTTCTGAAGAGAAAGGGTGGAAAACAGAGTGAAAATCATTCTCCCCACAAACAGGGTTCATTACACTGAGATTGAAATATTAACAAATGACAAGCTAATGGCTGTGGAACTGGGAGGGCTGAACTCACAGCCTGCATATACAGTGGGTCATAGCTGATTATCTTCCCCACCCCTTCTAGCCCATCTCTTTTTAAATTCTGGCTTTTTACGGTGCTAGATCTAGGGATCTTAGTGCAGAGACAGTTGTTCATTGTGCTCTAACACATATTGGGAAGACATTCAACAGAATTTATCAGGGCACAGATAAGCAGACATTGCTCTGGAAATACTAATTTCTATAGAGTACTACTGCTCTGGTAATACTAAGTTCTATGAATTATGAGGTGTGTTTTCCAATGCTGAGTATTTCCAGCCCATCTGTAATTGTGATCAATTTACAGTCATCATATTTATTAGCACTGGATAGCCTTGTCTCCCATTTTTGCTACCCCATAGTTCACCCATAGCCCACAGGAATAGTCTGAAGCTACCCTTGTGGATGGATATGAAAATCTTTAGTCAAGGAAAAGAAGAGAGTAATATGAAAAGGCCAGAACACCAAGGAGGTGGCAGCCTCTTCAATTTACTTGTACTTTTTTACATTAAGAGGTTTTGTCCTTACTCCAGCCTTGGCTTACTTGCAGCCCTTCACACAGACTGCAAGCTACCTCACGCATACAAAGCCTGGTGCTGGAATCAGTCCACGGTGCACTGCACACCCTTATGGACAATATACAATGACTTTATTTTGAAAAATGCAACTCCGTATTTTCTTCAAATTTAGGGCCTCAGTAATAAAAACAAACACCCACTGTTTATTGTCATTATGTATTCATTAATTGGATTCTCAAGCTGCTGTTGGTTAGTATCCTGCCTCTGCATGATAAAAATGAAGTTGCTAAATGGCTGAGAGGTAAAACTCATATTCAACTTCTCCATTAAAAAAAAATCCATACACCCTATTTTAAACTTGCAAGAGCTCTTAATATCGTTAAGTGTAAACACTCTTATGTAAACAGTGAGAGAAGAAAGGGATGCTGTCAGAAGAATCACTCCCTTTGTACACAGTGGTCCCCGAATTATAGGTTGGGAAGACAGTGCTGTCAGTCACATTAAAATGCCCTTGTGACACCTCAAATCATTGGAAGATATTACTTTTAGGAGGAAAGCGTTTGCTGTTAAATTACTGAAATCTTACTACTTTCATCTCCTTCAGGAAGAATACGGAGCTAATGCATCAAGTAAGATGCATGCTAGGACCAAAAAAAGTATACTGATTAAAGGCTAGGATGTAAGGCACCTGCCAGACTGGTGGGACTGGTGAGCACTCAGCTTCAGACACACTGAGGCAGGAAACGACCTATTGCAGTCCAAATTTAAAACAAGTTTATAATCTGTGGACCATCTAAAGAAATAGTTCTTTAAGTAACTTCTCTGTCAATGACTGTTAATTTCAAATGAATTTTTTTGTGTAAACTTTCTAAGACAGAAAACTGCTGCCAGGCAATAAAAATTGATATAACCTGCCTTCAAAACCAGAATACTTCTCATGCTTCCTGACTATGTAATCTGGAAACCCACTGCATGTGGCAGGTGGGCTGTGGGCAGCCCTGCCCAAGTATCCTAACGCCTGCAGCACTGGTGAGGTGTATGTTCTCAGCTTGCCCATCACAGGTTGTCACACCACTGCTTGGAGCATCGACCAGGGCTCTGCAAGGATGAAAGGATCCTGCTGTCAAGTATACTATGGAGCTTTCCTCAGGCATAGTGTCCATTTTCAGTGCCAAACTATGAAACATTTCTTCTATAGACTCAGACAGGGATAGGGGAAAATGCACAGGTAAAAAAGTATTTTTAGCAATACAAAATATTTGGTGAAGTGCTCTGTATAAAACAAACAGAAACCCTTAACGCAGTCAAGGTGTAAATTTCTTCTTAACTGCCTTTTTACTGTCACAGACTTTAAGAGATCTCAAGGACAGGAATGCTTTCAGAAATCAATGCTTCATGCTAAGATAAATAATAATGTTTAATATAAAAGGTTTTCTAAAATGGATATAAATACACCTCTTGAGCGGTGACCTTTTTTGTGCTTTTGAGCAGAACAATGTATTTCACTTCTGACACTTTATGTTCCAAACTTATACTTCTCTGTTCTCTGATTTCCCCACCCTCCCCATGAAAATAGCCTCCTTTGTTAACTGAATGGCAAAGATCTGTGTCTCCCAGTGTGTACATTACAAAGCAAGAAGCTTCTTTCTCTTTTTCCAGAAATCTACAGGGAGTTTAAGGGAGTGAGCAGTCAAGAAGGGTTTCAAAGGGTTTAGGCATGAAGCGGGAATCTGACTCCTTACCATCTCGAGACATTCCCAGGGCAAGACATTTCTGCAGTCGGCAGTGTTGGCAACGATTTCTGTTGGTTCTGTCAATTAAACAGTTTCTCTGCCTTGGGCAGGAGTAGGAGGCATTGTTCTGCTGACTCCTCCGAAAGAATCCCTAGGGGCAAGAGAGCAAAAGAGAGTATTACCATGTGCATATATGTGCACACACACAGAGAACCATGCAAGCAACTACAATAAGGTCTTATTTAGTGCAAAGCTATTTACGCTATGGCTTTGCAGATGTGTTGGCCTTGTATAGTGAAATTAAAATGCATTTACTTATAATAAAGAGAATTGTGCTTCATTCTGTGAGACTGTAACTCTGCTTTCTTAAAACACAAACAATAATGTTACAGAATGCATTCTTATTGTGCAATAAAGACCATGTATCATCTAACACTTGCTCGTAGTAGAGGAAAAGCTTGTCAGCATTTGTAAACAGATGACTTAAAAGTACTTGTTCTGACTATTTTCTTCTTTTAATGAAAGAGACTGGTAATAACTTGTGCTGGCTACACATAGCATTAGAAGCTGAAGTTTGCTGTTCAATTTAACCTGGCAAATGTTGATCTAATCTAGAGGGACCATACACTCTGAGTGCAAAGTAATTCAAATTCAAGCATCACAAAAGCACTAGGATTTAATGACTGTATCAAGTAAAGCCAACACACAAAGGAGAAAGCAACACCTTTAGACACTCCCATGAGAAAGCAATGACATTTTCCATTTCAATGGAATACAACATTGTCCATTTTATCTATGTAAAAAAATGTAGCTATTGTATCTCCTAGAAGGCTTCTCTGGCCAGTTGTAGGCTCTTTGGCTAAAGATCAGAGGGGTAGGAGGGGAGTATTAACCCCTACCTTAGCCCTTGCAAGCTCCCAGCTGCTATGAACAACTGAGAGGTAATGTTATGGTAGCAGTGACATAAATGGCAGAGGTGACAAGAGGAATTAAAACAGGGGGACAGGATTAGAGAGAGAAAGAGAAAGGGCAAAAGCATTTTATTACATTATTTCATTTCCTGACAAATAAAGGAGAGGATGAACAGCAAGGTCCAGACAGAGGGAAATAAAGAAGAGACGGTCCTTCCTACTTCTGCATCTTTAGACACAGACAGCTGCAGGGCTCTGTGGTGGGAGAGCTGAAGGATAGCCTAGCCACCACAGGAAGCCATGAGGAGAAAAAGGGCAGAAAGCATAATTGCTGCCATTACACCAGTCACCAGAAGTGATACCAAAGTAGTTGCGCCTTTCTGGGTTGGTTTGCAAACAGCTCTGAGTGAAGTCAGAAAGCAAGAGCTGACTTCATTTATCAGGCAAAACCAGTGAAATCTCCTCATAGGATAAGCAGTATGAATTGTGGGAGCCGTGCATGTTGGGGGAACAAGAGTCAGGAAGCAACAACTCAACAGTGTCACAGGGCTCAATTCACATGCTTCAGGTAGGGTCTGATTTCTCACCCAAGTCCTGGTGAACCTAATGAGGACTGTGTGGAATTTAAGTAAGAGTAGGTGGCAGGCAAGGTCACTGCTACTTCCTGAGGTTGACCATGAAGAGACTCACTTCATCTGGCTTGTGCTGCTCTTACGAATTATTATAGCATAACTAAAAACTAAATTAAGTTTTAAGATACAAACTTCTGAGAACATACATGTCCTTTAGGGAAATTCTCATAAAAAAAACTGATGGGGACTTAGCTGATCCTGGCTAACCAAAACTTCCCTGAAATTGTTGGAGGTGAGTTTAATTGTAGGCTAAATGGATGCTAATCACAGATATTTCTACTCCATTTGCTGAACTTTACTGCTAGTTTTGCTTTTGACATGCAATGGATTTTCAGATTTAAAGGTTTAGATTTTAGCAGCTCCTATGTGGCTATGTATTTCAGAGAACAAATTAATTAATTAATATTACAAAGCCCCACACAACCATCTAACATTGACTATGTCTTAACCTGTAGTGCTATTTTTGCCCCTCATCTCATAAGAATTCATTTGTTCTGTCCTTCTTTTGCCCCTCTTAGGAAATAATCAAGGGTTACATAATAAAATTAATCTACAACAGGTAATTTATTTTTCTCTCCTCCCCATAAGACCTAAATGTTTTCTTACAAATTACAGACAAGCCTTTTCTGTGGCTTGTAAGGGATTGTTAAATAATATCGGCTATATTTACTGAGAATAATTCCCTTCTGGGGAAAGAGGTTGCAGTTCATCACTGAGGAGCTACAGACTTAAGCACAGGTTTCCTAATATTCCCAACACTGACAAAAACTCTTTCTGCGCCTTGAACAAGTCACTTTATCCATTGCCAACAGTCAGTCTGAGAAGGGAAGTGGTCATGTGAGCTACTGTCTAAATCATAATAAAAGTGTGGTAGCAAATACCTTGCTCTGGGGGTAGGCAGAAGAGATGACAAAAAGTTTCCCAGCAAAGGATGGAGTCAGAGACAACAGACGGGATGAAAACCTGCCTTCAGGTTTCATTCTTTCAGTGACAATAGTGGCAGACCCACCATTTTCTTCAGTGGGTCCAGCAGATTATTCAGCATATGCCCGCAAGCACACAACAGAGCAGTAAAATCTATGAGGCCCCTTAAGCACCTATAATATGCATTTGCAGTGGCATAGCTAATGCAGGGACACAGAGTTAAAGGATTTTCTGTCCCTTGAAGTCTGTAGCACCGCCATGGGCAGTTCAGTCCTTGGGTACTGTGCCCTGAAATGCTGCTGCTGTCTGGTGCCTGGCTCAACACACATGTATACCTGTGGAGTTGTTCTCTTCCTTTCACACATGGTCTCCGTCTTAATTAATTCAGATTTCAATTGCATTCAGACAAAAGGAACCATAAATGACCAGTTATTAGTACACGGGCTGAGCAAATAATTATTTAATTGCTGGGCAATGAAGAGCAGAGTTGCACTACCTGAGACAGTGCTTACTGTCTCTGACACAGAGAGCTCTGACAAAGATGTCCCTTGTCAGACCCAAGGTGAAAACTGACATCACTTTTTCACAACAGGCTCAGAAAACAAGCTTAGGCTAATAGACTTCATACTGCAAAACTGGCACAAAAACAAAAGGGTTAAGACCATTGTAACTGGAAGAGAAGTCCTTTATCTCAATAAGCAATCTGCACACAGAGCTGAGGGGTATCGCCTCCTCTTGAGGCACACACAAGGTCCAGCATTACCCCAAATTACAGGAGACACTACCCCTAACTGCTCTCTGGGCACTGAGTGTTGACACAAGATGCTGTTTTTCAGCTGTAAGCATTTTTCTCCGTATCTTTTGTGCCAGTTTTGAAGTATCAGATCACTTAGTCTAATCCTGTTTCATAGGATCATCGTAAGAAGATGCTTAGTTCTAGTCCAGTGTCATAGTAAGACAGTGACACACTGCAAATTGTTCAGATTACAATTGTTGAAACTTCTGAAAGAAATCTGATCTGACAAGATACTGCTTCTCACTATGTTGGCATTAAAAGCTTTCTTTTGGAAATGAGTGTACCCAAATTTTCAGCCTTTCCAGATGCTCAAAAGCTTTGCAAAGCACTATGTAAATACTGACTTACCATTTATGTCTACAAATACAGATAAATTTTCAAATGTACCAGTTTGTTTACTTCTACAGAGAAGAAATCAGAGATGCTGCCTCTCCATCTCTACAATTCCACATTTACAGTCAGAAGTTGAAATACCAGCATGTAGTATGAAATACCGGTTTTCTATGAGTAATGATACAATTCCTTAGATAACAAACAAACAAACAAACATATAAACAAACAAGTTGAAAATGAAAGCCTTTCTTCTTCTGGCTTGGGGCCTGATTTGTGTTTATGGACTAATGCCTGGCATGGCATAATATGTTAACATGACTAAGCAGCATGGAAGTGTTTTTTTCCTCCACCCCTTTTTTTTTTAACCTCCAGTTGAAAAGAATTGCCCTGTGGCAGAGCCTATATGGAGGAAGAGACAGGATCCTTTTACATTAGTCATAATGTATGGCATTCATTTTTTTGGATATTACAGTTTGGCCTACAGAGAGTATAAAGGGGATAGAACAGGACTAAACTGACAGCTGTAAGCTTTTAAGATGTTGAACTGTGATACTGTGCCAACTTTCAATTCTACATGGATTGTGTAGGAAACAAGGTAAGAAATTCACCTCTCAAGCTGATTTAAGTTAGAACAGGTGTGACTCACAGTTGCCAGCCTCGGAATTGGCACTTATACTACATCAGATGTGATTAATTCATGTTTCAAATGAGGAGATAACTCTTAAGACTGTTTGATGAAAAAGAAAGCAACTAGTAAAATTACGCATGAAATGCATCTATATCAGCAGCAGGCTTTACAACCTTTGGTACCACTTGCTTGAAAGCATGTAAGAATGTATTGTTGCACACAGATGCCTGAGGCTACTGCACATGCTGATGACAGTGCTGTATTAAAATCTCATACCTTGCAGCCTTCACATGTGATGACTCCATAGTGTATTCCAGAGGACTTATCACCACAAATTTTGCATGGTATCACTTCAATTTGTGCTGAAAAAGAAAACAAGACAAATATTTTGAGTACAAAATTCTATTTAATTTCTTTATTTCTCAAATTGAGATCTCAAAAAAACTAGAACCAGACAGCAGATTGCTTGTTCACCCCCTGACAATAAAAAATTGCTTTGTATGTACTGTGTGTTTCTGGATGCTTTGATTTGGCAAATTTTAATTGCTTGACAGTAGGTAGTTTCTACCATACACCACAAAACTCTTCTGCAATTTAAGACATCTCATTATTAGCAAGGTTTTCCTCATATATTCCTTTTTTTGTTTTTATTTGTAAATTTCATCATTGTTATTGCTAAGTACAGTCATTAGGGGTCCTAAATAATTATCTAGGTTGTTCTTACTCATATAATTCAAATATTCGTAAGTTTTCATTTTGCTGAGGTAGAATTTCATGGTATATTTTGATGCATTTATCAAAGCAGTGGAAATGATGAAGTTTTTACATCCTTCAGATTATGGCTTCAAGACACCAATGGCAGAGGTGGGTTTGCAAATGATTGCTTAACCTCTTCTCTTTAAGCTATTTGTTTCAGCACCAGGTCCACAGACTGACCTTAGGCAGCTGGTGGCTGTGTTCTGGGAGAAGCAGGTACTATCTCAAAGTGTTTGAATATGGATATGCTTCAGATCATTTTGCAAAATTAATGGTAATTTAATTCAGAAAAAGTAACATATTTCAAACACTACTTTTTTGCTAACATAGCCGTTTGCTTCTGTCAACTGCTTAGAATTCTGTGTGTGTGTTCCCTTTGACCATGCTACTAGAGTGCATACTCTGAAATGTAGGGAAGGATTACTCATTTATTCTATTCAGCTGCATTGTGAAGAAATGGAAAACCTATGTTCTTTCCCTTTCATTTGTTTTCCTATGTGGGATATGTGCCTCTCTGCAATTCTGCTGCTACTAGGAAGTAACATCATACTTGGTAAGGATCACTACTCCTGGTAGATGTCTTTTTTCCATGCCCAGGGCAACAATACCAGCAACTCTGCAAGCCACTTATTAAATCCTTGGGTAGCAAAGCTGAGCTCTTGTGCAGTAAGACTACCCTGAGCACAAGGACTGCTAACTGTTAGCACTTCAACTGGACATGTTCAACTCCAAAATGGGCTGGGAGATGGAAAAAAAAAAAACGACTGCTGTCCAGATGCTCATCCTAAGAAGAGCATCCCACATTAAAACTGTAGGCATTCAAAAAAGGTCATGAATGCTGGAAAAAAAAACAACTAAAAAATGATTGCACATTGTAAGATAGGCACTATGCACATCTGTACAGTGGATGCTGTCATCATGAAATGATTAGTCTGGATTTTGCCCCCTTTCTACCAACTATTACAATGTATTACTCTTACCAGAACCCAGAGCTTCCTAAGAGTTACCTTCCTACCACCATGTGGTTAAACAACCAAAACTCAGAACCATTTGCTGCAGAACCACCACACTTCTCACTGAAAGGTACACTGCATCCCCTACTCTCCTAGCCCCGTACTTAGGACAGAGGCTTATCAATGTAAATTCCACAAGGTGAAGGCTAGCAAGCCCTCTTCTTTGGGAAGTAACTATTGCCTTGGGACACTGTATCCCAAAGGAATCAGGAAAGACGGGGTGTTCATGGATGGCTAAAAGATACTTTAGCTCCTCACCTTTGAGCTCAGTTTCCTTGTCTCTCACCAAGTACTTTTTAAGGAAAGGGTCAGGCAGGCAAATCAGTTTTTAAACTGCTCCTAATCCAGGATGTATAGAATTTATTTTGTTGTAGGAAATAGCAAATGTTGTTAATAAGTTCTGGGTGAAGACAACCCAGAACCAAAATCTTTCCTGTCCTTGTACTTAAGAAAGTTTGTACGTAGAAATAAAATTACCTATGTCATTCACAATTTTTGGGTTAGCTTCTGTTTCCCATTTTGTTTTAATTAACTAAGTGGTGGTAGTTTCCTTCCCTTCTTAAGAAATTAATATGCATTATCCACCCTGGCATGACAGACATTTTAAAAGGAAAGCAATTCCTTACAGAAAAGCATGTGCAGTTCCTTCAGAAATTTGCAAGGATGATCCAGCTCAAAAATTCCTATGCCTTATCCCCACTTAGATAACCAAAGCATTTAAACATGCACCTCCAGGTACTGCGGTTTGAGTAATTGCTCACAGGTCTCTGCTTGAGAGTCACATGGAGGGAGCAATGATCAGCTCTGGGATCACACACTGTTTTATGCTGACAAGCATCAAAGACATATGTCAATGTCTGAGGCAGGAACCACAATAAGAATGTGAAAAGATCTTCAGGAAAAGGAAGGAAAAAACCAACCCCCAAAACAATATGAAGGTACTTTTCATGTGACTTGCAGATACAGTTTGCATCTGCAGTAGGAACAAAGGCAGAAGAATTGATCCTGTGACATTTGCTGCATTCGACACAGTGCTCGTTACAATGAGCAATCAATAATTTCATTCATGACTTGCAATGACAAGTACTACAATCACGGTAAATATTTGTTGGCCAGGTCACTAAACACTAAGGTCCTGGGCTTCAGTAATATGAAGTAAATACTTCAGACTTGTGACTCATCAGTTAATTCAAACCCTTATTCAAAACTAGCCATTCTATAAATTAGTAAATACAGAATGTCTAGGACATTGCTACCATGGTTCCTTAGAGAGTTCACATCAAAGGCAGCATCTTTAGGACACAGAAGGCATTTGAAGAAGTTTGGAAAAGAAGAATCCGCTACTGTCTCCTAGGCATTTCTTTTTGTTCATAAAATAGCAGAAAAATTTAAGGATTCGTAACAGAAAACTTGAGTCATTAATTGTACAGGCCAGACGAAAAAGAAGCTACTTTATTCTCAGTAGCCTCTTGAATTACTGTAATTAACACCCAGTGTACCAGGTTTCTTTTGCAGCTTTAATGATTGTCAGAGGCTACTACACCTTTTTCACATTGTATCTTTGTTGAGTTGCCCATAAACTTCTATTGCTTTTCTTCTTCCTTGCCCCTCTTCGACCAATAAACAGTTTAGGGATTTCTGTATCCTATCTTAGTAGTTATTATAAAATAAGCAGCTCACTTCTGATTTCCTTACAAGTATAAAAAATATTAAATCAATACTTCCTGAATATTGACGTAAAAATGATGAACTAATAATAATGGAATTGACGCAAAGAAAAGTTGCAGCAGCACAGGAAAAGGACTTATTTTCTCCCAATGTAGTAAACTTGAGGAAGGAACAAGAGCAAAACTACCTGTCTCCACTTTCCTTATTCCCCATCAGCTTTAATAATGTGAATATAAAAATGGCTTCTGCCCCCTTTGAAGGTGTAACACAGGTCCTGACTGTCCATTTACCCAGTTTTTCAACAAGCACATTCAGTTTTCATCCTGTCTTGAGACACATCACTCAGTGAAAGCCTGCAAAACCACTATTGCCCTGAAGTCCAACAAAACATTTATAATCTCTAAATACAAACTGCATTGTGACTGCTCCCTAACATCAACTGCAGCTTCTCTTATCAGTGCCACAGGGTCATCCCACCTCTCTGCAGTATTAACCTCTTGTTTTATACTTGTGTTTACATTTCTTTGGGTTGGTAACTGCCTCTAATTTTATTTAGCACCCTACAAATTATTGTGTCACAATAATTTCAAATTAATTATATAACAACATTAATAACAATAATAACAACAACAATACACAGATGCTTTTTTACCAACTGGATAACTGGATCCTAATTCATTCTCTCAGGACAACAGGAACAAGGGTGGAATAATAGATATGGCAGCAAATACAAAATAACCTCACACATTTGAAAAAGACACTTGGATAAAAACAACAAGTATTTAAACCCATCTTGAAACCAAGCATTAACTATTTTCTCAAATGCTGCCCCAAGAGAAATAAAAAAACCACACCGAGTTGCTTTTTTTGTCTTCTTCTCTTTTTTTTTTTTTTTTTTTTTTAACCAGAAAAAAATTACTCTCAGAAAATTCATTACCCTAAAGACAGAGCAATGATCAGGTTTCAAGAATTGCTTATTGGTGAAATGAGGCACAAATCTGGAAGGATCTAGAGTTGATTTGCTGTATTATCTTGAACAGAAGGTAAGAGTCTATAATGCAGCTAATGTTTCTGTTGTGAACACTGCCACTCCTATGTGCATGCTATCTAACAAGAAAAAAGCAAAACTCATGTTTTATATAATATCAGTTTAACATTTGAGGAACTTCATTTGGGAGAGATAGGACTATAATCTCCCAGACCTGTAGCTTTGGTTCCAAGGGGAAAGAAGTCTTGAGCTTTTAATATTTAGATCTTGATCAAAAGAGGATACTAAGCATGCTGGGCATGAACTTTGAAGAGGAAGTCCTCTCTCAAATTGGTTGATCCAGGAGGCATTGCACTTGGAAACATCAAGGCTAATAAGAGAACCAATAGCAAGAAATGCAACTCCTTCACCTTCCAAGAATCACCATCTACCATCCTTACACTAGAGTTCTTTGAAAAATGCTAGCAGTTTGGCCTAGTTCACTTTAATGTTTGTATCCCTAAGCCGTTTCAAATTAAATATATTCAGCATTTTCATCTCGTTGCCAACTCTGATTTTTCAATCCTGACCTCTGTGAATGAGACAGGCTTTTTTCTTTCTACATGATCATTGACAGAATTTTCCCCTATAAATAGGCTGCCATCTAGATCTTGGTATCCCCTTGGCACTGGATTAGACATTCTTTGGCTTCACAGCAAGACTTTGTATTTGTATTTAATAATCTGAAAATATGCAGATGAGGATACTAGGTATATTTCTCTGTCATGCCTCATGCATTGAGAGCTACATGCCTGTAGACATATTTGCTCTTTGCCATACCCCAAACAAGCCATTAGACTAAGTGGATATGCTGGAATTCACTGAGGAAAACATTTTAAATAAAATTAAACACACAATTCTGACTGTGAGTCTGAACCCTGGACTTTGTTGGAGATGTGAAGACAGCCAAGTCC